ATAACTGAGCTTGGGCTTAGGCAAAACTGTCACCTCACAGAGCGATTCCCACCTAAAAGAATAATTTAGTGAAACTATAGTACAGTTGAAACTCTCACGCCTGAGATCAAATGAAAAGAATATGAATGCAGCGCACACACACACACACACACACACACACACACACAGCTTGACAGTGAACCTGCTTTGATTTCCTCACCTCTTAGCAATGATCTCACTTGAGGTCTGAAGATAAAACTACAGTATATTCAGAATTTTAACTTGGGACACCCACATTTAATTACAAACTATTAAGCTTCTCTTTGGTAATAACTCCAAACCACAAGGAGAGGGAAGGGATAGTTTACCACAACACATGTCTCAGGAAATAGACCACATTATGTTATTGTAGTTATTATTTATAACCACCTTTACGCACAGAGTACCCTGTAACACACTAACTAATTCTTTTTTCCTTTTTTTGTGGTACCTGCCCCTAGCGGGAACCAAAACCGGGACTCTCTGGTCTGCAGGCCGATGCTCAACCGCTGAGCCAAACTGGCTAGGGCTCTTTTTTCCCTTTTTTAAAGGACAAATACCCCAAACTGTGCAACCAAGTAAGCAGCCACTCATATAGGGTAAATGCCGACTTAAGTGTAAATGGACTCCCATTAGTCAAGCCCTGAGACTTTAGCCAGTGACCAACTTGGTATTGTACCACTTCATCAAGTAAAACCTCGTTACCAAACTTTAGGGGTACTGAAAATGGTTTAGTAATTTGGTAAGATCAAATGCAGAATGTGTAAAATTCCCTGCTTTACTAAGTTACTATAGAACCAACATGACACCCAGAAGTGTGGCTCAGTGGACTGAGTGTGGTCCCATGGACTGAGAGGTCCTGGTTCCATTCCCATCAGAGCACATGCCAGGGGTTATTGGCTAGACCCCCAGCAGGGGGCATGCAGGAGGAGGCCGATGGATGTATCTCTCTTTTTAAAAAATCAGTAAAAATAACCAGGCTGGTGTGGCTCAGCGGTTGAGCTTCAGACCATGCACCAAGAGGTTGCCAGTTTGATTCCTGGTGAGGACACAATGCCCAGGTTGTGAGCCAAATCCCCAGTGGGGGGGCATGCAGGAGGTGGCTGGCAAATCTATGTTCTCTCTCATTGATGTTTCTCTCTCTCTCTCCTTCTCCCTTCCTCTTTCTAAAATCAATAAACAAAAAAAAATTTTTAATCAATAAAAACATATAGCCCTGGCCAGTTTTGCTCAGCGGTTAGAGCGGTGGCCTGCAGTCTGGAGTGACCCAGGTTTGGTTCCCGCCAAGGGCATGTACCTCAGTTGCAGTTTGTCCCCGGCCCTGGTTGAACTGTGGGGTGGGGGTGGCAACCACTTGATGTGTCCCTTTCAGGTCGATGTTTCTTTCTCTCCCACTCTATCTGGAAGGAAAAAAAAAAGGAAAAATGTCCTCAAGTGAGGCTAAAAAAAAACATGTATTTTTTTAATCCTCACCTAAGGATATTTTTCAATTTATCTTCAGATGGGGGTGGGGAGAGAAACACTGACATGGGAGGGACACATATACTGGTTGCCTCCCACAAGACCTGACCAGGGCCCAGACCAACCACAACCAAGGTATGTACCCTTGCCCAAAATCAAACCCAAGACTCATTGGTCCGCGGGCCAATGCTGTACCGTTGAGCCAAACTGGCCACGGCTAAAAACATATTTTAAAACCTACATGATCATACCATAAGAAAAAGTGAATTTAACTTCATATGGTTAACATATCTCTACCTAAATATCGAATTTCAAAAGGAATCCTCCATTCAGCAAACTCAACATAACCAACATGTCCCTCCCCTTCCTTATTCCATGCCTAATAGTGCAAAAACATGACTTTTAGTTCCAATATTGCAATCGTTCTGAGCTACCAAAACATATAGAAGTACCTTTTTTTTTTTTTTAACCATTTTTATTTTATTTTATTTTATTTTATCCTCACCCGAGGACATTTTTCCATTTTTTGTTCAGGTAGAGTGGGAGGGAGAGAGAGGAACAGAAAGAGAGAGAGAAACATCGATGTGAAAGGAACACATCGAGGGGCTGCCACCCGCACAACCGACCAGGGCCGGAGACAAATTGCAACCGAAGTACGTGCCCTTAGCGGGAACCGAACCCGGGTCTCTCAGGACCGCAGGCCGACGCTCTAACCGCTGAGCCAAACCGGCCAGGGCTAGAAGTACCTTTTGATAAGCATGAAGTTCTAATGCAGACAGGGTTCACTTTAACATAGAGCTCCTGCTAAACTCAAAGGCCCTCTGAAATGCAGAGCAGCTCCTGTTAGCACTTGCTATTGACATCTTGGCAGCAGCTCTGATACCCTTTGCTTAGTCCTGAGTCACAGGTCCATCCAAGCAGCTTTAGTTATCTGAACTTGGTGCTTTCAGTAGACACAACCAGACCAGCTTTTCAGTCCAGACTTTTCTCCTTCTATGTCATTCGTTCCTCTAAATTTTAAAAATCCTTCAATACTCAAAGGTTATCCAATTTTGAAAATTTATGAAGTAGTGTTAAAATAATTAAAGTGTCCTACAACTTAAATTTAGTATTAAATTTAACCATAAATTTACAGGTTCTAGGTTAGCTACAGCAGGATTATTCTATTTACTATCCCAGCACTTTAACTTGGTAGGTTACCAATAAAATGCGGACATAAACAAAAGAGCCTTTTGAAAGTTATAAATGTCCTGCATGAAAAGATTTACGCATGCCTAGATATATTTCTGGCTTTCGTTTAAAGCAGTACTAGAATAGTGAAAAGATCCTTTCTAGAATCCTTCTCACGAGAAAATGAGATAGCTTTCTATCAAGTACAAAGTATGCACAGATTTAACAGCACTCGACTAATTTAGCGGTACAGCCAACCTATTTGCAAAGAGACAAACACTTAGGAAAAAAACTTTCGAAAACGTCGAGGGATAACAATTTATGGACACACTCCCGGCCCCTCTCCACGACGTGCGGCGGGGAAGCGCAGGCGACGCCGGGCCGCCGCGCGGTGACAGGCCTGACGACGCGGAGCCCGCACACGCCAGCCCTACGTGCCGCCCAAGTCCCGCCCTGCAAAAGCGAGCACGGCCGCGGGCGGGGCCTGGCCTGCGCCGTGCGTGGGAGCAAAGGGCCGAGGTGCCCCCGCCCCCTTCCGAAGGCGCCACCCGGGAGCAGTGGAGCCGGGGCAAGGGGTGGGGGCGGCGTGAGGCGCCCCCTAGAGGAAGGCAGGGGAAAGGCGGCAGCGAGAGCCTCGGCCGGGGCGCGAGGTCCGTATGCCCCACCAACGCCCTCTTCGCGCCCCGAGACCCCGGCCCTCGCGGGGAGCTGGCCGGGTGAGGGCCGAAGACAACGAGCCGACGGGCCGTCCGTTGGCCAGAGCGCGCCCCGCCCCGCCCCGCCCGCGCCGCGGGGCCGCCCTGTCCGGGGAAACTACGCCATTGCGGCCTAGCGGGCGGCGCCGCTCCTCCGCCGCCATCTTTTCGTGCCGCGGCCGCCGCCGGCCGCCGCCCGCCGCCCCCGCCGCGGCCCGCCCGCCATCTTTTGGGGCCGCCATACTTGCCCTGCGAAGAAGATGGCGGCGCCCATCACACACATAAAACATGGCTTCCCTTCAAAACAAAAACATCCCGGGGGCCGGCACGGGCCGGCGCGAGCGGTCGCTCACCTGAGGACCACATGGTGACCGAGAACTCGCCCTCCAGGGTCTTGATCTGCACCTGCTTCTGCTCCCACTTCTTGTTGCCCGCGTCCGCGCCGCCCGCCGCCCCGGCTCCGCCGCCGAGGTAGCCCTTCTTGCCGCTCTTCTTGCCGCCGCCCTTCTTAACGCGACCGCCGCCCGACGACGACGAGCCGCCACCACTTTTGCCGGCCGCCGCCACGGTGACCAGCGTCTGCTCGATGTAATCGTCGTCGCCGCCGGCCGGCGCGGGCACCGGGATGAGGATCTGGTCCTCGAAGCCGTCCTCGGCTCGCAGCCCGTCGGAGTCGTCGCCGCCCACCACCTCCTCGCGCGTCTGCACCAGGATCACCTCCTGGTGGTGGTGCACCTGGGTCGGGTCGTCGGTGACGAGCGGCTGCAGCGCGATCATGGGCGGGTGGTGGTGGTGGTGGTGGTGGTGGTGATGGCCCGCGTGCCCGTGGCCGCCCCCGCCGCCGTGGTCGCCGCCGCCGTCCTCGTCGTCGTCGTCGTCCTCCTCCTCCTCGCCCACCACTGTGGTCTCGATGGTCTCCACCGGGATGGTCTCCACCTCGATCTCGTGCAGCTCCACGATCTCGGCCGGCATCTCTGAGCCGTCCGTGGCGATGTAGAGGGTGTCGCCCGAGGCCATGGCTGAGGGCTCCGCCGCCACGGCCGCGGCGGCCTCGGCTCCGAGGCTGCGGGCGAGGAGGCGGCCGGCCGTGGGGAAGGAAGGCAGAGGGAGGAAGGCGGCAGGCGGGAGGGGGGAGAGGGGGCGGGCGGCGGGGGGAAGGGGCGGGCGCGGCGGCGGCGGCGGCGGGCTTCCCCGCCTCCTCGCCTCCGTGCGCCCCGCGCTCGCTTGGCCGCTGCTCGCCCCGGCGCCCCGCCTCACCGCGCCTCGGCCTCCCGCTCTGGCCGCGCCTCCTCCCGCCCTCCGGGCCGGCACTCCGCTTCCCCCTTCCTCCTGCGCCTCCGCCTCCTTCCACACAAATACCAACTCCTCACCCCGAGCCCAGATCTCGCCGCCGCCGCCGCCGCCGCCACACTGCGCTCGGGCTCGGCCTCGCGAGACTTCCGTGCTGGCCTGGCCCGGCCCGCCTCGCTCCTACTCGCCCGCTTGCTCTCTCGCTCCTCCTCCTCTGCCAATCGATCGGCTGGTTCGCCACCGAGGCCCCGCCCACTGCCCCGGGCTTCTCCCGGATTGGGGAAGGTGGGACGGCCCCGCGCGCGCTGGCTGGCCTGCGGCGCGTGACGTCAGTGCGTCGTCGCCGCTAGTCGCGCGGCTCCGCCCTCCGCGGTGCAACAGCAGCAAAACCCGTCGCCCCAGGCCGGGGCCGCACACGGGATCGGGGCGTCGCCTCTGCAGCTACCGCCTCCGGAGCTGGTGAGCGGTGCGCGCGGTCCCGGGCACCGCGTGGGTGGGAGGCCTGAAGGAGTGCAGGGATCGGGGCCAGACGGCCGCGCGATGAAGCTGGTGGCGCACGCGGAGCGGCCCCGGCGCCCCAATAAAGCCTGTTCAGACGAGAAACGCCTGAGCCCTCTTTTTCGTTTGGGACGGCGTTTGCTCTTGGCGCCTGGCTTCGGGGGGGCGATGGCTGCGGGGTGAGTGAGGAGGGCTCGGCGAACAAAGGCGGGCGGGCAGCAGAGGAAAATGTCCGCCGACGGCTGCGCTTCCGCATCGCCCCGCTGGGCCCGGGGCGGAGAGCAGCTTGGCCGCGCGGGGCGGGTGTGTGGAAGTGGCGCGCGGAGCCCCCAAGTCCACCGTTGGGAGGGTGTCCGTTATCCTTTTGTGACCGGCGGAAACCTGGGTCGGAGCCGTTGGTGCCTGCTTACCGATAGACCTTAGAACTCAGGTTCCGGCCGCTCGTCGTGTAGCTCGGCTCCTTTTGATTCTCTACAATTTTCTGAGCTTCCCTTTCTTCGCTCTCTAGCCAATTGTGATTTCCCTTGACCTCAGTCTTCACTTATTGTTCACTTTCAGATGCTCCTCCTTGTGTCTACCAGGTTTTGGATATTTCTCTCCTTTTTAAATAACACAGTTTTCCCGCCTGTTCTGCATTATACCGGCCACAGAGCCTGGATTTTTTATGGCACGAATTAGCGGCAAGTTAAAACTTCCTGAGTAGCTAGCTATATTTCAGCGAAGTGGTTTTGCCCCTATTTATTCTTTTTGGCCGACCTGGCTGGTTTAAAGCAATAGAAATAAAGGTTTCCTGGTTTTTAAGAAAGTCATGAAAAACTGAAAACTTGGGAAGGTGTATCTTTGTTGTACTCGTTTGGCCAATTTAACGCCCATATGAATTTCTTGAATGTGTATGTTATCCCTGTTTACTTTTGTCTTTTGGATAGTGTTCTTATAGTTGAAGCCCCTGGTTATTGTGCACCGTAATCCATTAATCTTTGATCTAACTTGTTAAAACAAGTGGGTGTCTTTATGGGACCATATTAGAGAAATGTTTGCATTTGATTAAGAAGTGACTTGAGCCCTGGCCGGTTTGGCTTAGTGGTTAGAACGGCGCCCGAGGACAAGAGAGTCCCGGGTTCGATTCCCACAAAAGGCACACACCTCGGTTGCAGTTTGTCCCTGGCCCCAGTTGGGGTCACATAGGTGGCAACCACTGGATGTCTCTCTCACATCGATGTTTCTCTCTCTCTTCCTCCCTCTCTCCCTCCCGCTCTATCTGAAAATAAATGCAAAAAAAAAAGTTTTCAGGTGAGGATTAAAAAAAGTGACTTGATCAGTCCAATTTAGTTCCTACTTGTTTCTAAATGTCATTGGACTTGATTTTTATTTAGTATATTACTGAAAAGGAGTACTTTTTTTTTTTCTTTTTTATCAGAGTGGGAGGGAGGGAAAGACAGACAGACAGACAGAAACATCAGTGTGATAGAGCCACATCAACTAGTTGCCTCCCGCATGACCCCAGCCAGGGCCAGAGACCAACCGCACCCGAGGTACCTACCCTTGACCAGAATGGAACCCGCGACTCATTGGTCCGCCCGCCAACACTCTGAATGCTGAGCCAAACTGGCCAAGGCAGGAGTCATTTTCATTTTGAATCTGACTTTTAAAACCTGAGTAATCCCCTCTTGGAGTTCTGCACCCACACGGTTGGGCAAAGTAGATCTGTTGAAAGGCATTTCTGGCTTCATAGGTTATAAATTCTACATAAATGTTTCATATATGAAAACCAGTTGTGGGAGAATTTTTAGTGGCTTAATTTCCCCACTTTCTAGTAAATGGTGGGAAAATGCCTTTGCAAGTGGATATTTGCCCATAGATGAAAGAGAAAAGAGGCAAGTACCCAATTGGGTAGCCTAGCTTCTGAGTCACAGATCTATAGACTACACAGTCGAGTATGGAGAAAGCATTGAGATGCACCTAAATGCTATCCTAGCACCTGCTCATGAATAGCTTTTAAAACTTGCCTTGTAGCCCAGCTGGTGTGGCTCAGTGGATTGGGCATCCTCCCATGGACTGAGAGGTTATGGGTCCATTCCCGGTCAGGGCACATGCCTGAGATGCCTGGTGGATCCCGAGTGTGGGGCATGCAGGAGGCAGCCAATCGATGTTTTTCTCAAATGGATGCTTCTATCTCTCAAAAAAATTTGTGTATGGCCCTGGCCAGTTTGCTCAGCGGTTAGAGCGTCGGCCTGCAGTCCAGAGAGACCCAGGTTCGGTTCCCGCTAAGGGCACGTACCTCGGTTGCAGTTTGTCCCCGGCCCTGGTTGGGTCGTGTGGGTGGCAACCACTCGATGTGTCCCTTTCATGTCGATGTTTCTCTCTCTCTCTCCCTTCCACTCTATCTGGACAACATATGGGAAAATGTCCTCTGGTGAGGATTTTTTTTAAAATTGTGTGTGTGGCCCTGGCCAGTTTGGCTCAGTGGTTAGAGCGTCGGCCTGCGGTCCGGAGAGACCCGGGTTTGGTTCCCGCTAAGGGCACGTACTTCGGTTGCAGTTTGTCCCCAGCCCTGGTTGGTCGTGCGGGTGGCAGCTACTCGATGTGTCCCTTGACGTCGATGTTTCTCTCTCTCTCTCCTTCCTCTCTCTCCCTCCCACTCTATCTGTACAAAAAATGGAAAAATATCCTCGGGTGAGGATAAAAAAAAAAAAAAAAAATTGTGTGTGTGTATATACTGGCCTCCAATTTTCTGTGATGAGAGATGTTCTTGTTTTAAGTCCTCACCCAAGGATAGTTTTCTATATCTTCAGGTAGAGTGGGAGGGAGAGAGAGAAACATCGAAGTGAGAGGGACACATTGACTGGTTGCCTCCCACACCACCCCGACCAGGGCCAGGGACGAACCACAACCGAGGTATGTGCCCTTGGCCCGAATCAAGCCCATGACTTATTGGTCCTCAGGGCGACTCTCTACCGCTGAGCAAACTGGCCAGGGCTAACTGGGGGTAGTATCTTATGACTAGACACACAAAGACACTTACCTGAGACAACTCTAGCATGCTTGCACTTGCTGCTAAAAGTGAAAATCAGTTTAAAAGAATAGGTTCAATTGCCATTTCAGAGCCATGGGGCTTTAAAGGTAGAGATAATCTCACTTTTATTCTGCTCTGTTTGGACAGAATGAATTGGGCCACTGAGCCTTCCAGGGGCACGTACTTCAGTTGCTGTTCGTCCCCGGCTCTGATTGGGGTCATGCAGGAGGCAACCAGTTGATGTGTCCCTCTCATGTCTATGTTTCTCTCTCTGTACCTGAAGATAAATAGAAAAATGTCCTCGAGTGAGGATTTAAAAGGGCCATTTCAGAGCCATGGAGCTTTAAATTTAAAGGTAGAGATAATCTCACTTTTATTCTGCTCTGTTGGGCAGAATGAATTGGGCCAGTGAGCCTTCCCTCTGAATTTCTAGAGTCCTTTTATTTTTTCAACAAGACAAATGATTTAACATCACTTAATTAATCTGGTATTTCTCTTACACCAGTATTTGGGTGCTTTTACCCTTTCCGCTTCCAAAGGCCATGGCTGTGTCTGTCTACAGCTCAATGCTTTGCACATGGAATTATAGTTTGTTTTTTGGCTCATCAAGAGTCCAGCTGGTGTTGCTCAGTGGTTGAGCATCGACCCATGAACCAAGAGGTCGCCGGTTCAATTCCCAGTCAAGGCACATGCCCATGTTGTGGGCCTGATCCCCATTTGGGGGCATGCAGGAGGCGGCCAATCGATGTTCTCTCTCGTCGATGTTTCTATCTCTCCTTCTCACTTCCTCTCTCTCTCAAATCAATAAAGGAAAAAAAATTTTTTTAATGAAGTGGAAAGCACTGACCAGAGGAGTCCTGTGTGATAGTGCTTGACCTTCTCATCTGCTTCTACAGCTCCGACTTTGTATAAAGCGCCCAGCCTACTATGGAAATGAATCTCAACAACTACAGAAGAAAATAGAATATTGGAAGAATCATAAGAGCTGTTTAAAGCTTTCTAGAATCTCCAAGAAGTCAAAGCTCACTAATGACTGAGGTGATGTGGATGGCTCTTGAAAAGAGTCCCAAACAAGATGAACCCAAAGAGCTCCACACCAAGACACATAATTAAAATGCCTAAGGTTAAAGACTAAGAGAGAATCTTAAAAGCAGCAAGAGAAAAGTAGTTAGTTACCTACAAGGGCGTTCCTATAAAACCGACAGCTAAAGTCTTTTTGACTTTGGACTCACTTTGGGATTTTCTAGAGGACCCTTGAAAAAAATCTCATAAGATGTGTTCTCTCTCATGAAATATTATGCTAATTAGGCTTCTTTGGTATGTTGAATTATATGGAAAGCATTGTCAAATAAGAAGTGATAGTAGCCCTGGCCGGTTTGGTTCAGCGGTTAGAGCGTCAGCCTGCGGTCCTGAGAGACCCGGGTTCGGTTCCCGCTGAGGGCATGTACCTCAGTTGCAGTTTGTCCCCGGCCCTGGTCGGTTATGCCGGTGACAGCCACTCGATGTGTTCCTTTCACATCGATGTTTCTCTCTCTCTCTCTCTCTCTTCCTCTCTCCCCCTCCTACTCTACCTGAACAAAAAATGGAAAAATGTCCTCGGGTGAGGATAAAAAAAAAAGTGATGGTAAGCCCTGGTTGGTTTGGCTAAGCAGTAGAGCCAATGAGCCCCAGGTTCAATTCCAGCCAAGGGCACGTACTTCAGTTGTTGTTCGTCCCCGGCTCTGATTGGGGTCGTGCAGGAGGCAACCAGTTGATGTGTCCCTCTCGTGTCGATGTTTCTCTCTCTGTACCTGAAGATAAATAGAAAAATATCCTCGAGTGAGGATTAAAAAAAAAGTGATGTTAATTTTTAAGGGTATATTTGTATGAAATTCTAAAACATCTGATATGTGTGGTATAATGTTATAAGCATAATTTTAAAACATATATCACTAAGTTCCTTGCTAATTGTATTATAATGAAAAGTCACTGGTGGTCCGCACCAGTCACAGTATGGAGACTGTTAGACATGGGCCAGAGAGGAGCTGTTCGTGGTCATACTGCAGGGCTGGGGTTTTCAGCTAGAGCCAGCATTTTCTGCCCTTGCTAGGCTGCAAAGTCTTTATTCAATTCAGATCCATGCTGAGCTTCCAATAAAATATTTAGAAAAACTAGGGCAGAAATTCATGTTAATCTAAATTGGTTGCCCCTAGTTTGGGTTAGTATCAGTTAAGTGCAAAACTATAGGTATGTGCAGTTTTCTTAATCATTTAAACGATCATTATTCCTAGTTCTGGAATCTGAAATATGAGCTATTAAGGGATACCCCTCAAAAATCAATGCATTAGAGATGGAGTTAAATTATGGTGAAATGGCCTAACTGTACATATCTATTAAGCCCATCTTTTATGCAACATTTTGTTCTTTACTTTCATAAGGTCTTAGTCAAAGTTTTTTTCTGAGGCTAAGTGGTTTATTACAGTAAGTGAATCTGGTGATTGCCCATAAATCTAAGGAAAGTTGAAATCTTTAATAATAGATGAGGCTCATTTTTCTCTATTTTGCTGTTAGAATGTCCCTTCAAAGCAGCTACATCAACTTCTTTGTGTAACAGTTGCTCCTGCCACTGCCCTTCCAGAGTAATGCAGCATGCACACTCGAGGAGGAGCAGAAAAGAAAATTCTCCTTCAGTCCACAGTAACTCACCACCACACTTGTTTCAGCATACTCACTGCAGTGTAAAAAGTGCAGGACAGTGTCTTATTCATGTGCTAGTGGGCATGAGTTAGGATAGTGGAATGGTAAGAGCTCCAGTGGACTGGGAATTACCTTGTCCTCAGTAAGAGCAGGTAGAAGAGGACTTTTCCTGCTTATCAGAGAGGCCTGAACGAGGGGATTGGGTGAGCCAGTGTTCTGCCCATTTGTGAGCACCTGCTATGTGGTCCAGAGCACAGCCGTGAGCAAGATGAATGCCTGTTTGTGAAGCCTGCAGTACAGAGGGGACATAGGCTGTGGACAGACCACTCACAAATAGTTGTCTCAATTCCAGATGGAGGAAATCTTAGGAAGAAGTAGACAGGGCAGAGCCCAGCCTCATCAGATAAAGGCCCTTGGAGAGTTGAACAGACCACACAGTGCCCAATCTAGTGCTTAATGTATTTTATGTTAATTTCTATGTTAGGTGATAAATCTGTAAACATTTGGGACAAGTCCATAACAGTACAAAAAGGCTATTTTTAGCCTTGGAAATTCATCAAATTAATCCACTGAAACTACTGTAGAGGATGGTTGACGTTTCTCGGTACTTGGTTTCTAATATCATGTCCTTTGTGTGCACATAACACATGCTTTTTATGACCCATTCCTTGTCCCGAGTTCCCACTTGAATGTGGGGATTAATCATGAAGATAGTTTTGGAGTTTCGGGCCTTGGAAGGTAGAACAGCTGTGGAACTGATCGGTGGGAAGGACAGTCTGGAGTCCTCAAAACTTGAGTTAGGATCCTGGTTGTGCCATTTATTATCCAGGTAACATCAGCCAAGTCCTGTAACTTTTTTTTTATTTTTTATCCTCACCTGAGGACATTTTTGCATTTATCTTCAGATAGAATGGGAGGGAGAGAGGGAGGGAGAGAGAGAGAGAAACATCAAGTGGTTGCCACCCACATGACCCCAACCAGGGCCAGGGACAAACTGCAACGGAGGTACGTGCCCTTAGCGGGAACCAACCCTAAGGCCTCTAGTCAGCGGGCCGGTGCTCCAACCATTGAGCCAAACCAGCCAGGGCTGGGCCTGTAACTTTTTAAACTCTTTTTCTCAGCTCTCCCAACAGGCTGAGTAATACCATTGTTCAGATTAGATTATAAAAGTCAGCAGAGATGGTATGCGAAATGCCCAACTTGGGCTCGGAAAGCGTTTATGCTCCCCAGGATTGGTTCTGGTCCCTTCTCACTATTCCTGTTTGTTGCTGGGCAAACAGCTCTGCCCACTCACATCTGCACTTCTGTCCTTGGGCTCTATCCACTGCCAGCTTTAGGGGAACGCTTACAGATGGGCCCGGGCCGTGCTCATGCACGTGGTGTCTTAGAGCCAGTGAGACTTCATTTGGTGGCCAGGCTTGAAGAGATTTGCCATCAGCGACGGGTTTTTCATCTCTCTGAGCTAGGTGGATTATTTTCTACTAAAAGTAGAATCAACTTGCTTTTGTGTTTTCTGTGTCAATCAGAACTGTTTCTCAACATTGGAACTCCTTTAGGGAGTGTGTCTATATCTGCGATCCAGCTGCTGCTATCTTCCTGTCACTTTTCCCCCTGTGACGTGTACTTTGCAGGAGAGGGTAGAAGGAGACTTGGCAAGGACATTGTCATGGTGGGGTCAACAGCTGCAACTCGGCGTAACAGCAGCCCAGAGGTGGAAGACAGACCACCAGCCTCTTCTCTCCACAGATTCAGCGAACCACAGCCCAGTTCAAAGTTGCCACCAAACCTCCTTGGCACTCTTTAGGGCACAGTTTTCTCCTTGGGTCATGTACAGTTTTAAGTTTAGGACTGAAAGGATAGGATGGGAGGGAAGAACTTCACTGTGCTGTGAACTATGGCGTCCTATATCTGCCCGAGAAGTGGTTGGTGGTATGCTTGCACTATTATGCTTAAATGGCATTGTCATGTCCTGGCCGGTTTGGCTTAGCGGTTAGAGCATCCGTCCACAGACCAGAGAGTCCCGGGTTCAGTTCCTGCTCGGCCCCAGTTGGGGTTGTGTGGGTGGCAGCCAGTCGATGTGTCTCACATCACTGTTTCTGTCCTTCTCTCTCTATCAGCCTCCCTCTCTCCCTCCCGCTCTATCTGAAGATAAATGCAAAATGTCCTCGGGTGAGGATTTAAAAAAAAATGGCATTGTCACTAGCAAGGATGCAATCTTGGATTGCCTAAATCTTTTCCTAGTGACTTTTTCCTTTTCATTGAATTTATTGGGGTGATACTGGTTAACAAAATTATAGAGGTTTCAGGTGCACAATTCCACAACACATCATCTGTGCACTGTATTGTGCTTCCACCACTCCAACTTCCTAGTGACTTTCTGACCAGGTCATCCAAAGGCAGTGCTTACCCTGACATGCCTCAAAGCTAACGCCATCTCAGATGCCACCCTCTCTACTTTTCCTGTGTTCACTGAAGACTTGGCACTTAGTCTATAGACTTCTTCCTGAACCTAAGCCATACCCAGCCCTTGGTTGACTTGAGTCAGCACAGGCTCCTTATATGTTGCCTTTCGAACACCAGTTACCTTCATTGCCACCTCGCCAGCTGCCACGTCCTTGTCATACCTACAAACAGCACCATCTCTGGAATCTTAACTCCCAATATGCCATCCTCTCCGGTACTCAAACCTTCTCTCCTATTATCCCTGCATTTCAGCCTCAGACATTTCAATCCCTCTTTACTTCCCAGACTAGAACACTGGTTGATCACAGCATCCTCAGCGTCCCATACCACTTATGTCTGATGAAATTTCACACTTGGATCAACCCACTTCTGCCTGTACTTCCGAAATCCTAGGATCTACTGGAGGTAAGTTGGGCTACTTGACTTAAAAATAAATTTTATTCTGATCAGTTATTCCCGCACGTACACAACCGAGCTGTTTTTTTTAAAAAACAAAAACAAAAACTGGAACTGACACCTAGAGGAACCATAAAGATAAGGGGATTAATGATGGCCTTGGGAGATTCGAAGGGACCATAAAAAGAAAGAGATTAATGATTGCCCTGACCCTGATCTCTGGAACAACTCCTCTCATCCCCTATAACAGTTCCTCCCTTGCCTCTGAAACAGCTCCTCTCGTAGTAGCTCTGTTTCTCCCTTAACAACACCAAAAGCGGCACCAAGAGAGTGTAGTTTAGTCTATAAGCAGGCAACAGAGAAGGCTCAGGGCTGTGTTTTGAGAAGCTGTACCCCCACAGCCTGCCAGTGAATGAAGTGCTCCTTTCATTTTACAATTCGGCTGTCTCTCTGATTATCTTGCTGACATGTTACAACATTTGGAGGCCCCAGCGAGATCCCTGGTGCTTTGTGACACCAGGGGCTAGATGCCTACGACAGGTGGCTTCTGAAAGCTAGCTGAGCCCGAGAAAGCCTGGAGGGCCGCCTGAGACGTTCCAGGGCACCGCATGCTATTTTCAGGTCTCAGCAAGGGAGCCCAGGAGACACAGCACAGTCTCTAAATCTACAAAGGAGACCTGGTAAGAAAACCTCCCAGAGGTAAATTCTGGTGACCATCTATCTGGATGAGAGTGAGAGGCCAGATGCGCTGCAGCCTCTCCTCTCCGAGGAGTCCCCCTAAGATGTTAAGAAGGATTCAAATCTGGCAGACTGTTCCCTCGGCCCCCTCTGGGGCAGAAGGCGAGTCTGATCACTTCCCAAACGGCATAGGGGCCGCTCAGGATAGGGAATTTCTGGATGGAAATTTAAATTGTATGTGAATGTGATTATATTGTGAATGAGCGTACTCCATGCCTGTTACGGAGCCTGTGAGTCCCAACCTGCGCTCCGCAAGCGGAGCAACCAGGAAGACAAAGCAAAGTCTGTTTCGTGTGTCCTCCTCAACTTTGTCGGGGTTAGTCTAATACTGTTAGTGGGTCTCAAGAGAAACCTGAGGATAGGACCACCCCCACCCCATCCTTCTACCTCCCTTAGAGGAGGCAAATCTCCAGTGGCGAGTGCAGCAACGCAGATTCCCTGCAAGGCTCTGCACTTTGGGGGATTGAAGGTAGCGATCCCGGGCACAGGCACAAGATGCTCTTGTGGAGAATTGGAAAACACTGCCCCACATAAACACACATGCTAGGACGTCTCATTCCTCCACCCATGGTAGGACCCAGCGACTGTGCGGGGGGCTTCTTTGGACGCTTTTCACCTGTTAGGCCTAAAGGCCCAATTAGTTGAGATAACTAAAAAAATATAATAGGACACCCTGGGGAAAAACAAGATAAAACAATAGCAAAGTTGGTAATAGCAGCCCTAAGGGAAACAGGGCCCATGGAGAAGGGTCACCCTAGGAAGGGAAACATGAGGAAGGGTCAGGAAGGCAGGCCTTGTACCCAACGAGAGAAGAGCCAGTGTGCCTACTGCAAAAAAGGAGGACACTGGAAGCGAGAGTGCCAAGTGGGTCAGATAGGAAAGACAAGCTAGTAGACACGCCCCAGACGTCCTTGACTTGGAAGAGTGACGGGGCCAGGGCCTTTCAACTCAGCCCCCGCGAGCCCGGGATCACTGCACAAATACTGGTTAATTTCTTTTCTTTTTCTTTCTTTTTTTTTTTTGGTACGTGCCTCTAGTCCACAGGCCATCGCTCCAACCCCTGAGCCAAACCTGCCAGGGCCCAGTTAATTTCTTTTCTCTCTTTTTTTTTTTTTGGTACATGCCCCTAGCAGGAACCGAACCTGGGACTCTCTTGTCCGCAGACCGTCGCTCCAACCACTGAGCCAAACCGGCCAGGGCCCCAGTTAATTAGATAACGGGCTACACTTTCATTCCTAACAGCCTGTGGGTCCACTAACAACTAAGAAGACCTCAATTTAAGCAGCGACAGGTCAGACTACCCTCTACCCTTGGATAACTAACAGGACCACATTTGGAAAGGGCACCGTCACACACTCCTTAGTTATGCCTGAATGTCCGATTCCTCTGGGAGGATGTTTTCTCCTCCAGAAGTCAGAGGCTACAATGGCATTTATTGGAGAAGAGGCACACCTTACTGTAAACCCAGGACATCAGGACCAGCTCCCATTCTCTCCTTCAAACATACTTGTAACCTGCCCTTTGTCAGGTTAAGGTTTCCTCTAAGGTCCTGTTCATGTGCTCTACCTGCCCTGAGCTTCAGCTGGTAGGCACAATGGAGTTTCCAATTAATATTCAGGGCCTTGGCTATGTCCTGTGATATTCTTGCTATAAAAGCGGAGCTACTGTCTGACCCTGCCTTAGTAGACTTGGAGGGATTATAAAAAGAAAGATTAATGATTGCCCTTACCCTTGCCTCTGTAACAGCTCCTCTCAGATCTTCTCCATTTCTCCCTTAACGGAACCAAAAGCGGTACCAAGAGAATAGTTTGAGCCTTTATAAGCAGGCAACAAAGAAGGCTCAGGGCTGTACCCCGCAGCCTGCCGGTGAATAAAGTGCTCCTTTCATTTTACAGTTTGGCTGTGTGTCTCTGTCTCGCTGACATATTACAGCAGAGGAAACCCCACTCATGTACATAGATTGTTTTTTAATCCTCCCCCAACCACATACTTAGAGGAATGGGGGGAGAGAGAGAGAAACATCGATCCGTTGCCTTCCATACACCCCGACTGCAGCCCAGGTTTGTGCCCTGACCAGGAGTCAAAGCAGCAGTCTTGAGTGCAGGGACGATGCTCAACCACTTGTGCCTCTCCAGGCACATCACGTAGGTAGATTTTGTCCTGCCTTACTCGAGGTCTCCAGCCTCAGCTGAGTGTGTGGCTCTCTTCTTTTGGGTTAAGTCTCTGCTGGTCCTTAAACTTTTTTTTTTTTTATCCTCACCCAAGGACATTTTTCGATATTTTATTCAGATAGAGTGGGAGGGAGAGAGAGAGAGAGAGACATCGACGTGAAAGGGACACATCGAGTGGTTGCCACCTACACGACCCAACCAGGGCCCGGGACAAACCGCAAGTGAGGTACGTGCCCTTAGCGGGAACCGAACCCGGGTCTCTCCAGACCGCAGGCCCACGGTCCAACCGCTGAGCCAAACTGGCCAGGGCTCTGCTGGTCCTTAAACAAGGCTCTTGTGACCCTGCCTCCCTCCCACCATTGCCTTACCCCTTCTATTAGCTAAGCCTCCTGAGACCCTGTCGGTCAGAATGGTCTTGACCTTATCGATTCATCCTGGGACTGTGTCTGCAGCAGTCTGCCAGACATTCTGTCATCTACCTGGTCTTGTACCCAAACAGGTGAAGACTCCTGACTTTGACTCATCCTCTTTTTTTTTTTTTTAAATCCTCACCTGAGGATATGTTTCCATTTATCTTCAGATAGAGTGGGAGGGAGAGAAACAGAAACACATCAGTTGGCTGCCTCCCGCATGACCCCTACCAGGGCTAGGAACTGAACTGAAACTGAAATACATGCCCTTAACCGGAATCAAACCCGAAACTCTTTGGTCTGTGAGCTGAAGCTCTAACCACTGGGCAACCGGCCAGGGCAACTCATCCTCTCAACACTTGACATGGTCTGCCTGTGTCCCTGGGACTCCCACCTGGCTGTCTCGGTCACCTCGGTCTTCACCTTCTCCTTTCTGACTTGCTCCTCTTGTTGCTCTGTCTCTTGGGGTGCTCCCCAGAGCTCTAAATCCGTGCCCCACTGTTCCAAATCAACCTGCTCCTGTCCCACAGGCAGCTCAATCTCACTGGGTCCACCCAACCTGCCCCCCACCTTCTCCCTCCCCCGAAGGTGTCTCTCACCAGTCACACCCGGCTGACTCCTGTGCCCCAGTTATCCCTGCTAGCCACCAAATCTGATGTGTCTACCTCCCGAATGTTTCTCAGGCAGACTTGGCTCCTCTCCTGCTGCCCTGTCCTCACCCAGGCCCTGGCTTTCGCCTAACCCTTTGCCAAGCAGCCCCACCGGCCTGCAGTGTCCCTCCCCTGAGGCTCCCCTGAGGTTTTCTAGCGTGCAGCTGGGGCCACGGCACTACCCCACTCAGACTTCAGGGACCGCCCGGCCTCCCTGTCCTCTGTCCTGCTGCCCCCAGACCTGCACCAGGATGTTCATCCCCGTGTCTCCAGGCCGTTCGCTTCTCTGCCTGAATGTCCTTTCCCACCTCCGGTCTGATCCTCTTCCTAACAGCTCAGGACGCCTGGGAAGCTTTCCTTGCACAGGTGTTTCTGTAGCAGTCTGCTCCAACTGCAATTGGTCTTACATTCTTTCTTCTTTCTTTTTTTTAATCCTCAAGAAAGTGGAAGTAAGGGAGGGAGAAACATCGAGGTGAGAGAGACACACATCGACTGGTTGCCTCCCGCACAGCCCATGTATTGCACCTGCAACCTGGTATGTGCCCTTGACCAGCAGTCAAACCCATGACCCTTCCATTCGAGGGCTGATGCTCTAACCACTGAGCAACACTGGCCAGGGTGCGTTCTAATATTCTTTTTTTTATCCTCACCTAGGACATCTTTCCATTTTTTGTTCAGATAGAGTAGGAGGGAGAGAGAGAGAGAGAAACATCGACGTGAAAGGGACACATCGAGTGTCTGCCACCCGCACGACCCAACCAGGGCGGCCAGGGACAAACTGCAACCGAGGTATATGCCCTTAGCAGGAACTGAACCCGGGTCTCTCTAGACCGCAGGTTGATGCTCTACCCGCTGAGCCAAACCAGCCAGCGCACATTCTAACATAAGTGGCTGTTAATGTGTCTGCTTTCCCACAAAACCACACCTTCTCTGAGGGCAGGGATTTGCTTCCTGTCCCCAGAGGGAAGCTTGGCCAGCCCAGGGCAGGACACAAGGTTGTACTGTTCAGCAGGAATACCTGGTGATGCCACTACTACTACTGCCTGGGGAGTCGAGAGCAGGACCCTTAGCTGGGTGTTATGGAAACATGGTGTGGCAGAAAGAGTTTTGAAACCAGACAAACCTGGATTTGAACATTAGTTCCACCAGTTATTATTAAGTGAACTTATGTGAGTTTCGTAACCTGTCTGGGCCAGTTTCTTTTTTCATTTGTTAATCCTCACCTGAGGATATTTTTCCATTTATCTTCAGATAGAGCCGGAGGGAGGGAGAGAGAGACACACACACAGATTGGTTGCCACCTGCACGACCCCAGCTCGGGCTGGTAGGAACTGCAACCAAGGTACATGCCCTTGGCAAGAATCAAACCCCCAACTCTTTGGTCCGCAGGCCAATGCTCTAACCACTGAGCAAGACTGGCCAGGGCAGGGGCCAGTTTCTTTATCTGTACAGTAGGACTATTTGTTGTAGGATTGTTGTGAAGTTTGAGTGAAACAGTGTGTACAAAGCCCCTGGCACCGGATAGGTGCTAAG